AGGAGCAATGGGGTCAATGGAGGTAATGGGGGCAATGGGGGCAATGGGGGCATTGGGATCAATGGGGTCAATGGAGGTAATGGGGGCAATGGGGGTAATGAACTCATTAGGGTCAATGGGGACATTGGGGTCAGTGGGTCCATGGGGGTAATAGGGGCATTGGGGTCAATGGGGGCAATGGGGGTAATGCGGGCATTGGGGTTAATGGGGGTAATGGGGGTAATGGGGGTAATGGGGGTAATGCAGGCAGTGGGGTAATGGGGTCAATGGGGACAATGGGGGTAATGGGGTTTTGAGATAATGGGGGCATTTGGGGCATTGGGGGCAATGGGGGCATTGGGGGCATTGGGGCATTGGGGGCATTGGGGGTAATGAACTCATTAGGGTCAGTGAGGGCAACGGGGTCAATGGGGGCATTGGGGACATTGGGGGGAATGGGGGAATTCTGGACATTGGGGTCTCTGTGGGTCTCTATGGGGCGCAGCGGGGCTCAGTGGGGTCACTATGGCTCTCCATGGGGCACAGTGGGGTCTCTGTGTCTCTACGGGTCTCTATGGGGTGCAGTGGGGTCCCTATGGGTCTCCATGGGTCCCTATGGGTCTCTATTGGTCCCTATGGGGTGCAGTACGGCACAATGGGTCACAGTGGGATCTCCATGGGTCCCTATGGGTTCCTATGGGTCTCTATGGGTCTCTGTAGGTTTCTGGGGGTCCCTATGTGTCCCTATGGGTCCCTATGGGTCTCTATGGGTCTCTATGGGTCCCTTTGGGTCGCTGTGGGCCCTATGGGTCCCTATGGTTCCCTATGGGTCTCTATGGGTCTCTGTGGATCCCTATGGGTCTGTAAGGGTCTCTGTGGATGTCTATGGGTCCCCATGGGTCCCTATGGATCTGTCTGTAGGTCTCTATGGGTTCCTATGGGTCTCTATGGGTTTCTATAAGTCCCTATGGGTCTCTGTAGGTTTCTGGGGTCCCTATGGGTCCCTATGGGTTCTATGGGTCTCTATGGGTTGCTATGGGTCGCTATGGGCCCTATGGGTCCCTATGGGTTCCTATGGGTTTCTATGGGTCGCTATGGGTCTCTATGGGTCCCTATGGGTCCCTTTGGGTCGCTATGGGCCCTATGGGTCTCTATGGGTCCCTATTGGTGTCTATGGGTCTCTATGGGTCGCTATGGGTCTCTATGGGTTCCTATGGGTCCGTACTGGTGTCTATGGGTTGCTATGGGTCTCTATGGGTCTCTATGGGTTCCTATGGGTCCCTATTGGTGTCTATGGGTCGCTATGGGTCTCTATGGGTCCCTATTGGTGTCTATGAGTCTCTATGGGTAGCTGTGGTTCCCTATTGGTCTCTATGGGTCGCTATGGGTCGCTATGGGGCGCTATGGGGCGGTCCCCACCTCGCGGATGGCGCTGGGTGGCAGCGCTCCAGGCAGGTCCTGTTTGTTGGCCAACACCAGCAGGGTGGCGCCGGCCAGGCGCTGCAGGACGGACGGACACAGACAGGCAGATGGACAGCGAATCGCAGCCCCACAGCCCTGCAACCCCACAGCCCCACAACCCTACAGCTCCACAACCCTACAGCTCCACAACCCCACAGCCCCACAATCTCATACCCCCACAACCCCATAACCCCACACCCCACAACCCCACAGCCCCACAACCCCACAGCTCTACCCCATAACCCCATACTCCCATGACTCCATAACCCCCATAACCCCACATCCCATAACACTGTAATCCTCCATAACTCCATAAACCCCCGTAACATCCCACCCCATAATCCCACATCCCATAACCCCACAACCCCATACCCCCACAACCCCTCACCCCATAACCCCACAGCCACACAACCCCAGAATCCCTCAAACCCAACAGCACCACATCCCATAACCACCCACCCCATAACACCCTAAAACCCGAAAACCCCCTCGCCACAGCCCCCCACTCCATAACCCCCACCCCATAAACCCCCATAGCCCCCCACCCCATAACCCCATAACCCCACATCCCAAAACCCCATCACCCCACACCCCACACCCCCACTCCATCCCCAAATCCCCCCACCTCCTCCCTCAGTAGCGCCCTCAGATCCCATAACCCCATAACATCATAACCAAAGAACTCCACACACTCCATAACTCCATGCCCCCATAACCCCACAATCCCATAACCCCCATAACCCCAAAACCCCACACCCCATATCC